TATATATATATATATATTATAAAACAGGCCTGCACCTGCTGGGTTCTTACCTGGTACTCACTAAATATTGAGTATCAGGTAAGAACCCAGTAGGTCTGGTTTATAGTTTTCTATGTTTTGTTGCTGTTTCCTGGGTGTAAAACCTCTTTGACGTATTGTGTTGTTGTTTCCCAGCTGTGTGTGAGCAGCCCTGTGGAAACGGCGGTACCTGCCTTAAACCCAATAAGTGTGCCTGTCCTCTGGGCTGGACCGGACCTCAGTGCCGAACAGGTACACGCAAACCCAGCCGCCGCTTCGGTCTACCCGGAGAGAAGAAGTACACATTTCCCCCTGACATTGTGTCTTTGTTTGCCCGTCAGACGTGGACGAGTGCAGAGGGCGGCAGGCGTGTGCGCAGCGCTGCGTGAACACAGCTGGAAGCTACACGTGTGTGTGCAGGGACGGCTTCGGGCTCGCCGAAGACGGTCGCTCCTGTCAGGGCCTCCCCTCTCCTCCGCCACCCTCCAGCGGCCCAGCAGCAGTGGGTGGTCGCACCGATCCGGGTAAACCATGTCTGTTTCTGGTGTGTGTCTGTTTTCAGGACAGAGGAGCGAATCATGGCCAGCCTCGCGCTCCATTATTACTTTTGGTACGCGCTATGCCACTCTCAACTCGTACCGTGAGTAATAATGCACTGCGACTGGTACCGACTCCAGACTCCCGGCTCCATGTGGTGAGACGGGGACCATTTGTAGTCTGATAATGACTCAGTGGACTGTGAAGCACACATCTGCCTTTAATACAGCTCCCATGCTAACACACACATACTTGTCACCCACACAGTCCATTAGTTTTTCAAAAAATGCTGTATCTCAATGCTGTCCCTCAAAAGGAAAAAGTCAACTTTCACTCATGCATCCACCTTGTGTCTTAGCAACAAAATATCAGAACCCCCACTCCGTGTCAACAAACATCCAGAACTTCTTTTAAGTCCTATTCTGTGTCAGCCTAATTGCCCTTTTGGGAAAATTATGCAACATGAAACTTCAACGCAGACTTACCTTTTCCTGATTTCCTGACTTCCAAGCCTTTCCAGCTGGAAAATAAAAAAAGCGAAATAAAATTTAAGGCCGAACATTCCTTGTTAGAAGTCCCACTTATAGTTGTTACACCATATTTTGTGACCGTCATATATTGTGACCAGAGGGGGCGCTGTTTGCATTTCTACGACAGAACTTGGCCGAAAATAGCCACAAAGAAGAATATGATATACGCCAAAAGTTTAACCCAGAGGTCACAAAATATGACAACTGTTGTCATATTTTGTGACCTCACTGTAGCTTGGTAAATAATAAAAATATTTATTCATAAACTGATTCTACTCATTGTATACATCAGATATTCTTAACCCATGGGCCGCAGCCCAATTGTGGGCCGCGAGCGCCACCTTGAGGGCCTCAAAAGAACAACAGTTTTTAACTTTGGGCCGCAGAGGGCCGCAGGACCACATTGATTTTGAATAAGGTGCAATACGCTTTCTCACCACTAGTAGCAGTAGTGCACCACTCAGATGTTTAACAACTTTTTAATATGTAGAAGAAGAAACTTAGAAACCTGCAGAGAATGGAAACCTATTTTAGAAGCAAAAATGAAAGTAACTCGTCAAAAGCACCGTCACTAATATGAAGTACAGATTCTATTTTTACCATGCAATATTTTAAAAGTTAAAAACATTATCAAATGCAGTTGCAGATACAACTATATTTTAATTTGCACTTTATCAAATACATTTTTTGTAGTTTATTTTTAAACATTTTTAATGTATTTTAAAGAAAATTTTCAACTTGTCAAAAAGCTGTTGTTACTGTTATTGTTTGTCACTAATATGAAGAGCAGCTTCTGGTTGCAAAAGTTTAAAAACGCTTTATTTTCATTTGTACTTTATCAAATGTATTTTTACAGGTTTTTTAATTTGAAACATTTCCATTAAACATTTTTAATATATTTTATGCTCATAATTTTATTTTTTGAATTGTCTATTTTGTTATTGTTTATATTAAAAATATATATTTTTGTGTTGATAAGCCTGAGTGGTCTGTTTGTATTTGTTCAAATAATAATTATGGGCAGGTTATAATATAAAAATGTTTGTTATAATCATGTATTGTGATTATTTGACAGGAGTTTAACTTTTATACTGTAAGTGTATTTAATTTAGTTATGTTAGTTATGATAGTTTAGTTATGATGTAAATACAATAACAATTAAACCAAGATTTAGTTTAGAATAATTATCATTTTGATCCGTATGGTAATGTGTGATTGGGCCTCGTGCCACTTTATGTTCAACAAAGTGGGCACCGAGGTCAAAAAGGTTAAGAAACCATATACATCCTCTAAAGTCAGAAAAATAACTTCTGATCACTGGCATGGTGACTATTACTATTACTACTACTATTATTACTACTATAAGTGATAATAGCTATCATATTATGTGACCCTGTACTAATTTAATAACAGTCACCATGTCAGTGATCAAAAGTTATTTTTCTGACAGTAGAGGATGTAAACAATTAGTATAAATTGTTTTTGAATAAAAAATTTTACTACAGTGAAGTCACAGAATATGAAAGCTGTCATATTCTGTGACCATATATAATAACAACAGTTTTTTTTTCTTCGTATGTCTTCAGCCGATCATATTCTTCTTTGTGGCCATGTTCGGCCAAGTTCTGTTGTAGAAACGCAACAGTGCCCCCTCTGGTCACAAAACATGGTGTAACACCCTTCATGCCAGAGTTTAAGATCACTTCATGCTGAGTCATGTCCGTTTGGTTCGAAGCTAGAAAATGTTGTCACGCTCAGAGCGTGTGTTCTGAATGACCCTCAGCTACTACCATACCAAGTTTCAGCTCAATATCTAAAAAAATCCACTGTAGTGTTGCCGTTTCCTGCACTTTCTGTATGAGTGTGAGCATGCCAAATGCCTCAGGCTCTCCTCCAAACTCCCCTCAATTTATCAGCGTTTGTAGAGAAACCCCCTGACCACAAGCTGGAATATTCTCTGCTCAAAGTTCACCTTCACCACTCCATGATGGATGTCTGAGTTCGCAGACTTTACAACAGAAACCCGATACTTTGAGAAGCTGCAGAGCCGTGTTCGTGCCTTGTGCTCAGGGGCGCGACGTGTTTTCCTGTTGTCCGTTCAGAGCCCCGTGTTGGAGGGATGATGATGAAGATCTCAAACACAAACACAGACTTTAAGTGCTCAGACACCCGGCTCTCGCTCAGCCAAACAGCTCAGGCCCTTTTCTTTCTTTTTTTCTGCTCTGTTCTTGGCCGGCGTTTGAGTTTTCATTCCAGCTCCATCAACCCTGTCTGCTGGGGGTCACCCCCCCACCCCCACCCCACACACACACCTCCCCTCCTCCTCTTCACACTCCCTTTCTCACTTTTCCTGCACTCTGTTATGGAACCACATCTGGGAGAGATTGAACATATCACAGTCTGTCTGCAGAGGCACAACCAGAGACCGTGTGTGTGTCTGTGTGTGTCTGTGTGTGTGTGAGTGTGTGTGCGCGCAATATTAGCTAACCTTAAATGATTTTTGCAAAACTTTCACAAAGTAATCATCGGGCCGAGGCCAACAACTTGTAGAGTTCACTTCAGAGTTGTAAAGTAACTAAGTACAAATACTTTGTTACTGTACTTAAGTAGAATTTTTGGGTATCTGTACTTTACTCGAGTAATAATTTTTAAGCTCACGTTTTACTTCTTACTCCTTACATTTTTAAAAAGGCAAGAAGTAGAAAGTTGTTACTTTTATTTCATTTTTACTTGTTTTCATTCCAGCTTGTAAAACATAAATACTATCCATGTAAACTGTGCCTCCTAGATAGAGTGAATTTAATTGTCGTTGGATGAGAAGTATAAATATATAAAACTCTGATAGTGTATTGTTTGTACACAAACACATGCCACATTCTGGCAGGACACAGATATGT